TCTTCCAACCTAGACGATTCCATGATTCTGTGATTCTATACAATACATATATGGGTGTGCTCGTGACTTGCCTTCATCCTTGGTATTTGCCTGTTGGTACTGTAAACTCTTTTAAGTAATTGCACTTAAAAAAAAATTTCCAGTGGGCTTCACTATTAAATCCCTTTCTTTCTCCTCCAGAGTCAGTCTGGATATGATGTCAGTTCAAGCAAATACTGGTCCACCATGGGAAGACAAGAACACCACAGCGTTCTGGAGAGGACGTGACAGCCGCAAAGAGAGGCTTGAACTTGTAAAACTCAGCAGAAAATACCCAGAGATCATAGATGCTGCTTTTACAAACTTCTTTTTTTTCAAACATGATGAAAGCCTCTATGGCCCCATTGTTAAGCACATTTCATTTTTTGATTTTTTTAAGGTAAGCCAGTAGACATTTTTCATAGAACTAGGTTCTTGGTGTTTCCCCATTATCAAGTAACTTTGTATATATTGTGGATAATGAAGTGCTTTTTAGTTTTTCAGCACACCCCCAATAACAAGCATGAGTAGGCATCCCTTCCTGTGGCATTAACCGCTCTGTAGCTCTTACGCTGAGGATGATAATGTTGATTTACATCTAAAGGTTCTGTAGAACCTCGTGTAATCCGTGTAACTCCAAGTTCCTTTTTATTTCTTTTTCCTGATTCAGCGATCAGGCCTACTAACATAACTAACATAGTGGGAAAATCGGTGGATGAAGTGGCACATCTACCCTCACATCCGAGGATGAGCGGCTCAGAATTCCCGGAGAACTTAATTGATGAAGAGGGCATCTCTCTGTGTACCCTGCACTGTGATGAATTCCAAACTAAATAATAAAAGCTACTTACACACTGATGCTTGCCTAGCCAATCCTACATTTCTCAATCAATATCGGCAAGTCAGTAACACCAATGCCCTCAGAATGATTATAACCTAACCAAGCTACTTGGATCTTCTGTTTGTTAATAACCCATGGTCATTTTCTTTCCAGTATAAATATCAAATTAATATTGATGGCACAGTGGCAGCCTATAGATTGCCTTATCTACTAGCAGGAAACAGTGTGGTGCTAAAGCAAGACTCCATCTACTATGAGCATTTTTATAACGAGCTGCAGCCATGGAAACATTATATTCCGTTTAAAAGTGACCTGAGTGATCTGCTAGAAAAACTACAGTGGGCCAAAGAGCATGATGAAGAGGTAAATATACTTTTAGAAGTATCAGCAATGTTTCTCGACAAAATAGAACAAAAACTG